GGGGAAGAGGATGGGGGGGAAAAAGTTCCAGGACCTTTAGGCTGACTTTTAGGTATTTTGGGGGTTTGCTGAATGGACATTGAAGATGGAGGAATGTCTCTGGAGCTACTGTCAAACAATGATTCACCAGAGGAAGGGTTTTGGTTTAATTTTTAAAGCATTTGCTTTTATAAAAATAAAACTCCCAAACAAACCTTGCCCTGTGGCTAGATAGAAAATTGACTGTTATGCCACGCAGGTTTACTCCCTTACTAGTGAACATTACCTTGCAGGGATCCAGTAGTTCCTGATTATTTTTTTCTCCCCTGGGAAATAAATAAAATAGAATGAGCAAAGTACATCTTAAACCTGGCAGTTCAATATTGGTTTACTCACTGTGTTGTTTAAATAACCCAAACCTAAGAAGGTATCTGCACAAGAGTGAGCTGTAGATTACATCAAATAGCTAAAACCCACTAAATACTGAGAAAGGAAGGTGACAGTAGTGAGCACTAAAGCAGGACAATCAGAAGGGGAGTGTGAGATTGTGTCTGGAGGTGGGAGGCAGGAGGGAGAGGTGCTCCTCTGCTGTGCTTAGAAGTGATGGAGAGAGATCAATCATGGTCTGGTCTGGCTTATTGAGCTCAAAACTGATCAATGATAACATCTGAAAACAAGAAACCAAACAGGCTTCATGTTGTTGTGCTCCTCAGGAGGCGTGTGCCCAGCAAGTCTACTGAGATGGCTCCTGCCCATCTCCTGGCTCTACTGAAGGCACTGCTGGGCTTTGAGAGTGCTTCCCAAAGCTTTTCACTTAATTTGTCTTTGCAGCTTCAGCTGAAGCTCACTTCAATTGTACTCTCTGAAACACGGGCCACGTGGCAGCAGCCAGGGAGGGAGAGGAGGAGAGAGGGCTAGAGCCTTCATCTGTATGTTGCTCACAGAGAGCTGGTTGCATATTGCACAGAAAGTGAAGTCTATCACCATATTTTATTTACAAGTGATTTCACACTCTAGCACTGTCGGTTACCGTGTTTCTGTGAAAAAGTGTTTTTAAAACTACTAATAAAATAGCATTTAACTGCTTCAGAAAGTCAGCCTTCTATTAAAGGCAGTGAGAGCTGAGTGGCCTTGAAGATACCACACGGTTTTGGTTGCTTCAGCTGCTCCCGTTGTTTTGGGTCAGAGGTAGAAAGATGAGCAAAATACAGGATAAGCAAAATGCTGGTGGGATTTCCCCTGGGTCATTCAAATGTCATAGGAAAGCAAAGACATCGTTTCCCTGGCCAGAGAGGTTTTTTGCTTTTGGACTTGCAGAACGGGTGGAGGAAGAGGAGAAAGAGCTTTTCCGTCATCAGCGGCTGCAGTTTCAGAGCAAACGTCGTCCGTTGTCCAGGCGCGCTAGTGCAGGCTTGAATAATAGGTACTGAAGGGAGCTGCGCATTAAAAGAGTAAGTCAGTGGTGCTTCCATAATTGGACTGTTGCTATGTCTGGATTTACTCCTCCTGGAAGGAGGGTTAAATAGCATTGGCTGAAGCCAAAGTAATTACTCTCTTACCAGGGCTCTTGTAGCAGACCTGCAGCTCCTCCTTCAATCTCCTGCAGGTTCTTTCTAGAGCGCAGTGTGCTGCCATCCCTTCTGGGTACTGGTCTGCAAGAGGCCTCTTGTCTAGGATACATTCACTTTTTTTTTTCTCCTCCTTTCCCTAGCATAGGAAATAAATCCCAAGCCATCTAGCTCTGGAAATTATTTTCTGGACAGATACTGAGCGCTATGCGGGTCCCTGCCATGGAGGTGGCAGGGTGTGCTCTCCTGCACTGCTGCACACAGGTGATGTGGTCTCCGGGGTCTGTTTACACTATGGCCCTTTTGAATATGTATTGCTGGCTGGCACAAATGTCTGTAGTCTCCTTCCCTTCCATGAGTGAGATCTGTTGTCTTATCAGTGGCATTTTATTCTTGCAAAGCAGCACTAAGTTCCAGAGGGCTCATTTCTACAAGAAAAGGACATACAAGGTTGCTTTGAGTTTATAGGAATATTTTTGTTTGTGGTCCTATTCGTGTTAATTTTACCTTCAAACTTTCAAGATGCTCTGTTTACCTACATGCATATATGTGAGTCCATCTCGTCCACACTATGTGGTGCAGGGATGTCTTCAATACTTTTCTGCCAGCCCAGTTGCTGCTCTTTAGGATTTCCAAGATGTATCTGAGCAGCACAGAGATACTCTTCAAAGGGATGTCCCAACTTCCAGATGTAAGCTCGGTCGCTTCATGTCTGACTGAGGGCTCTCTGGCTCAGCATCCCGCTTCTGCCATGGGCTGGTAGCTGTGCTGAAGAACAGAAATGGGATGGATTTCTTGCAGTTGGCAGTTTGGGATCTTCTCAAGCAGAGCTTGACCTCTCCGGTTTGAAAACCAATGTTAGAGCGTGGGATGCTCTGCCAGCCTCTTCACCTGCAGTCTTTACTTGGTCTTTCTCTGTTCATCTCTTAGTCCCTTGCATTTGCATGGTGTGATGAGCTGATGGGTCTCTACTAACCTCCTGTATCACAGAGAACAGTAAATTTGCAGCAGGGAAGGACTACTATGTGTGCAGCACTTATTAGCTTGATTGAGAAGTTCCAGAAACTTACTCATGATTATTTCTGTAGAATTAGGAAATAGAGTAATTTTGTGTTGCTCATAGCAATATCCCGGAACTTGCAGGTGTTTGGGGTGTCCTGCTTCTCCAGGGGTTCCCTTCTAATGGCCTTCATCTGGAGATGCCATTTCCACAGCTTGTTTCCAGGTCCTTATTTCATAAAGTCTTTTAAGAGGGCATCTTGATTTCCAGCAGTGCTCTGAGTGTCATGTGGTAACTGATGAGAAGCTGTTGAAAGGTAAGGCTTGTACTCCAGCTGAAGCGCTCACATTCTTCTCTCAAATCCCTGAAGCTGAGATGCATGTTTGTCATTAACGTTAAAAACAAAATACAAAATTTGGTGTCAAAATTCCACAGTCTCTTTGGTTCACAAGCTACAAGCAAAATAGAAAAGTGAAACAGTAATTTTTTTTTTATTTATTAAATAGAAGAAAGATTAAAAATGAAGCCACCTGGGACATCAGTCCGAGGAAAAGCATACTGCACACTTGACATGAATTTCAGTATCTGGAGGCAGCGCACTGTCATGGTACAGCTTTCCAAAGGGTGGATTGGAACATCCATTCATGTGCCAGATCTTTTAGCTGTTC